GAGAAACAAAGTTGAAAGTTTTTGTGGTGTGTTTTCTTTGATGGAATAAGCAATTGAGGAAAAAAATGTTGTATCTACTTATTATGTTTTGTATGCTAATAGTCGTAAGTCGTAACTAAAATGTCCAGAAGTAGTAAAAAATGATATAACGAGTATGCAGTTTTCTTTTCTTTTTTTAAATTACAAGTTTGCAGTTTTCACCATTGATTTTAGCTTCATATTTTGTGTAATCAATTATTTTAAATCCCAAGGTACCATGTGATTATTTGTTTCTACGAATATATTGTACTTTTTCCATAAATTAACTATAAGTCCTTGCAATAAAATAGAATACGAACAAATAATCGATTATTTTAGTCACTGGATGTTTACAAGCTAACGTGAATATGATTATAACTGAAACCACTAGCTTACAATTAAGAAACTAGCTGATTTTTCGCGTTATATGCGGATTAATATTTTCAAAAATTTAAAAAAAATATTATTTCATAGTTAAAAATTGCTAATAGTATTCAGTTTAGATTTAATTTTGGTTTTCAAGATTTTTTCGATTTTTAAGTTTTTGTTTATGAATAATAGTTATAACCTAAAAACATACATTATAAGAATTTAGTATGCTTTTGGTTCGTATTCAAATTTTAATCAAATATATAATTTATTTTCTTTTAAATTTTGGTTTATATCAACTTTTTTTAAAAAAATTCGAATAAGTTTTTTTTGGACTAAAATTAATTTTATTAATATTTTTTGGACGAAAATTAATTTTCTTAGTGTTAAATAAATTATAACCCAATTTAAAATTGGAAAATGAAAGTTATAATAAAATACGGGTTAAAAAATTATGTTGTTTTATTTGTGGAATAAATGGTTATCATTAATTTCAAATTAAGTTTTTAAGAAAATAAATATAAATTTAATTATAGAACAAATTTTGTCATGATTATTTTAAATTTAAAATAAAAAATTCATTAACAATTTTACCATGTCATCTTTTTTTAAAGCCTTGTCATGAGAGTGAATATATAGAGGACACATAAGTTTTTTTTTAATAATCATCTTCCAAATAATATATAGGATATTTAACTAAAACCACTATACTAGAATTAAGAAAATTACCTAATTTAGTAGTAAATTAACTTTTTGTATTGTTAAAGGAAACTAAGAAATAATTTCTTTTCAATTGTTATTATTTTTAAATGTTGTTGAGTATAATTTTTATATGTTTTTTTCAATTCCACGTGAACATCTTTAGAGACTTATATTATAAATTGTCATATATACTAAAAGTTCGGATCTAGGACTTTGTCTTTTGTTAGTTTTATTTTTTATAGAAAGTTTTATGTATTGCACTATTTTTTTTTCTATTTTTAGGGGAGGGGTCCGAGGGGAAGGGAAACTCTTTACGATATTTAGATGATTGTGTTCATATGTAAATCATTCCGTCCAAAAAAAGAAACAAAAAAATCACACATTCCAAATGAAAATGTCTTTAGGTGTGAATGCCAATGGTTTCATCACTTGTTTGGTGATTTTCTTGATATTGACAGGTATTATACATTATGATATATGAATTTTATCAAAGTCTGATTTATGGTTTGTATACTTTTTCACATGAATCATAACCTTATATATAATTTTCAAAACTCATTAGCTAATTGTAAATGCTAAACAAACAAATAACAAAACTTCCATTTGTGTTTGGAATTTTCATATACGCTTTGAAAAACTATATTAAAAAATGTTATGTGTTTTCACTTTACTTAAAAAAAAAATCCATAAAAAATAACCAATCAAGATTCAAATAATTTGTGAATTTAAAAAAAAAAAGTAAATAAGTGTTTCTAGAAACATTGCAATTACATATGAATGTTTAATAAAAAAAAATTGAATTCTTTTTCACATATCGCTTAATAATGTGGTAGGAATATCAAAAGGAAAAAGTCGGTGTGAAAAAGACCATATCTTATACAAACTTACGATTCCTTGTGCGCCCTGGCACAGCGATTATTGCGCACAACGTTGCAAGAAAACTAGTAAGTATAGCAGTGGTACATGTATAACGAGAACAGAACACTTGTGCAAATGTAAGAGTTGCATATCAAGAGGAAATAATCGGTGTGAAGAAGGCCATATCTTATACAAACTTGTGATTCCTTGTGCGTCCTGGCACAGCGATTATTGCGCAAAACGTTGCATGAAGACTGGTAACTATAGTAGTGGTACATGTGAAACGAGAACAGAACACTTGTGCGCTTGTCAGGGTTGCATTTAGGAAGTTGTAAACCAGACAAGTATTGCGTGCAACAATATAATTCATTACTAGCATCTATCAATAATAAAACATAATGGTTACATG